AGAGAGAGAGAGAGAGAGAGAGAGAGAGAGAGAGAGAGAGAGAGAGAAAGAGGAGAGTTCTTTCTCAGTCTCCTGAGTTTTAACAGGCTGTCTCTACTAGCCTGGACTCTTCAGAGCCTGGCCACTGGATGGAGCACAGGTCTTAGCAGAAGCCCTGTAGCTCAGACTTCCATTCCCTGGCCTGCAATTCTTTGCCTACACTGTCTAGCATCCTTCTTTGACTCCAACCCTTATGCTTCTCTTTCAGCCCTCCTGTTTCTGCAGCCACAGCTCTGTGCTGTCTCCTCTGTCCTCTGGTTCACTGCCTTTCACTTCATGACTTCCTGGGTGAACTTTCAGGTGTATTCACATCCTGGTCCTTCTGGGACTGCTGGGGAAGCTTGGTAACCATGACTTTGTTTTCTTGGGGCACTGAACATTACCCCAGGGCCTTGAGCATGTTCAGCATCTACTCTGGCACTGAGCACCCCAGATATCTGTAGTGTCTTTAAGAGGCCCTTGGGAATGCCCAGCATCTGAAATCCCTCATCCTAAATCTCAAATCCACAGCCCAGCCCAGGTCCCAGGTGACACACCCGCCTGTCCTGTTCCAAGAGGTCACACAGGAGTTCCCACTGCCGTCTGCGAAATCGGTCCACCTGCCCCAGCTGTCTCGCTGCTTGCTCCTGGACCTGTTGCTTCAGGGCCTCGCATTCTGCCACAGGGAGACTGCTCACTTCTGGGAGCGTCTTCAGGAAGAGAATGTCCACAAACTTTTGGAAGGTTTCCATGGTGCCACAGTACAGCTCCTAAAATGAAGACCACACTGGGGTTATGGGTCAGGTTCCACATCCCTGTCATGCTGAAGGTCTAAGGTTCCAAACTGAAACAGAGCACATGATAATAAGCAAGACAGACAACAGGAACAAAACACACATACACAGCTGTTATCACAAGCAAATGATATGCGTCCCAGAGTGGCTATAAGAAGCAGGCCTTAAGTAGTGGTGGTTGCTCTTGCTCACGCTTACACAAGATAAGCAAAGGGCTGCGATGATAAACAGTGTTGCTTAGCTTAAAAAGAGCCAACTAGATGTTTTAGGATTCAAAAGTTCTAAGAACTCAACGTACCATTTTAATTAAAGTCATCCAGAAGCAGGTGAAGAGCTACCCGGTGCATTAGAAGGCAAATCAGAGGAAACCGGGACAAAACAAGGAGGCTACAGGATGGTCACTGTGCAGGAGATGAAGGCCCCAGAGAGACCAGGAGGTCCAACAGGGATCACTGCTGTCCCCAAGGAAGGGACACGAGAGTTGGAGTAGAAGTGGTATTTGGAGAAATAACCAAATTTCCCAAAACTAAGAAAAGAAGTTTACAGATGAGGGCACCGAGGCCACCTATTCAATCCTGGGCAGCATCGGTCAGAACAGCCGCGCTCCCTGCCTTTCTAATGTTCTTTCTAACTCTTGAATCTGGAATGCTGGCTCCTGCTTCAATCAGGGACACCTCCTTCAGACAGACAACTGTCTTTGGGCTCGCCTTCAACCTGCACCTCCACGGGTCACTCACTCTCCTCTCTGTGCTGATAAAGGTTTGGTAATAGAGTCAATATGGATTGGGATGCCACCAGTTCCAGGTGCTGTCCCAAGGTCTCCCAGGCACTGAATTGTCATAGTACCACTGTGAAGGAAGACTGAGGTCCATAGATGGCGAAGCAGGGCTAGAAGGCCCAGGTAGTTGAGGCACAGCTTGACACAGAGCTGGGCACCTGAGCCACCTCTCCCAACAGTGCTGCCGAGCCCTGAGGTGTGTTATATCCTTCCTTACCAGCATCCTTTATCCCTCTCCCATACCTCAGCCTGGGCTCTGCCTGTCTCACCAGCGTTCCCCAGGGCCCTGCACCTGGGGGTCTTCATGTACTTCTTCCTGTCTCCTCAAAGCCAGCTTTGAGGAGAAACGGGCAGCGCTAACTTGCCCGCGCACAGATTCAAAGCCATATTAACCTCCCAGCTTCCAACATGGATTCGAAGAACACATGACAGAGATGTGGGCTTGTGACTCCTCCAAGCAGCAAATAAAATGCCACTTGATCCTATCCTTAGTGTCCCAGCCCAGAGGATAGGAGAACCAAGAGATTCTCTCACACACACAGAGCGGAAGGTTGTTCTGTTGTCTGGCTAGATCACTGGAATCTTCACTGCTAACATGACAGACTTGGAGTTACCTGGGAGACACACCTACAAGTGAGTCTGTGGGGACATTTGTAGGTACATTTAACCAAGGAGGAGAATCATTCACCCTGATTGTTAGCAGTCCCATTCCGTGAAGAGAGATTCCAGGTTGAATAAAAGGAGGCAAGCTGAGTACCAGCATGCATGTTTCTCTGTGTCTTGATGGCAGATGCAATGTAACCAGATGCCTTATGCTTCAGACGCTGTGCCTTTCCCACCATGATGGACTGAGAGCCACAACTAACCCTTTCTTAACTCTTTTTTCTCAGGCACCTTGTTACAGCAGCAAGAAGAGCAGCACAATCACATACTTGGCAGAGTGCAGCCATGGCCTCCGTGATCCTGATATCCTCTTCCTCCTCCTGGTCACTCCGGGTCAGCCACTGCCTCTCCAGGACCTCATGAAAAACCTGTAGTTAAAACAGGAACCGAGTACAAACGAAAATGGCACTCTTTGGTTCTTCTGGAAAATCTCCCCCTATCCCCAATGACTGACTGACATCTCAAGTGGGAGGAATATTCACTCCAATATTTTCTGAGGAAACTGAGGAATGGAGCTGTCAGATGGCTTCAGTGGCTGCACTCCCATGGCCAAGGACAGTTCCGAGAAAGGCTTGGGTCTTACACACTCTGTACCATGAACCATCATTTGGGTATGCTTGCTATAGATTCCCCGCCTTCTCTCAGCAGCCCGGGTTGGGATGCTAATCATTGGCACATGAAAGGAGTCAGGGACACGGAGACTGAGCCACTTGGCTATGGGCATGTGCCTGGCACAGGGAGGCCTGAGTTGAAGTCTGGTCTGATGGACCAAGCTCAGCTTGCAAGAGCAAGGAACTGGGGATAGAGTAGAGGCAGAGTCACCTTGAGGAACTCCCCCAGGTCTGAGGTCAGCTGGGAATCAGCCAGGAAACTTCTCTGCTCTTCTTCTTGGATTTGTGTGAGCTCTGCCATCACTTCTGCCTGGTGAGCCAGAGACGCCTGGACCAGGTCTTTGCCCCGCTGAATGAATTCTGGAGTTGTAAAGAACCACAGAACAGGAGGTGACCCTCTAGCAGGGTCACGGTGACCTACCAGGCAGTACCTTCTCTGCAGGTCAGACCTATTCTCTTGTGCAGGCCTCATTGATGATGACCCCAAGGATCTTGAGGCCGAGTCTACCTCCAGCTGGCCCTGTGAGCAGGAGCAGACACAGGGAATCTGTGTAGGAATCTGTGTAGCTTTCCTTCACCCATGCTGACCTGATTACCCTCACCAGCTAGTCCTTCAGCTGGGCAGGGCTGGGGTTGCATGTGCTTAGCATGGATCACCCCTGGGCATGTCTAGGTCCATTCTGGTTGACACCCTCTCCCTTACTCTGCTCCTCTGAATTCCAGGTGGTACTGCCTTGACACTAAGTGGTGGGGAAGAATTGTCTGTATTCTGTCAATCATGTTTTAAATAAACACTGACTGGCCAGGCAGGAAGTATAGGAAGGTCAACCAGTCAGGAAGTAGAGGCAGGGCAATGAGAACAGGAGAATGCTGGGAAGGAGGCAGCCCACTCCTCACCAGTCCTACCCAGACCACTGAAGAAGCAAGATGTGACCTGCCTTGCTGAAAAAGGTACCGAACTATGTGGTTTACATAGATAAAAATAATAGGTTAATATAAGCTATAAGAGCTAATAAGAAGCCTGATCTAATGGACCAATCAGTTCATAAGTTATAGAGACCTCTGTGTGATTTTCTTTGGGGCGAAACGGCTGCGGGAAGTGGGTAGGACAGAAACCCCGACAAGCAAGGCCCTCATGTTACAGAATGGCACCCATGTGATTAACTGCATTCACAGAAAGCCTGAGAAAGCTTGGGAAAGAATAGAGTAAAGCATGTTTTCTTGGTAGCAGCAATTTGTTACAACTGGAGTCTTGTCAAGATGAGCCACTGAGAATAGACTATGGCCCTGCTCTCACACAGGCTCTGATCTTTCTGCTCTGCAGGGGGGAGGCTGAGCCTGGCAGTGACAGCCCATCCCTAGGACTGGACAGGAAGGCAGCCCTGACAGTGTCACAGGCCATACTATCCCAGGTCTCCAACTCAGGCTCACTCGCTCACCCCTGCCAAAGCACTCTGCCTCCTCCCAGAAAGCCTTGTGCTGTTGGGTCAGAAGTTCCTCCTTTTGCCTCCCAGACAGCTGTCCCTGGGCTGTCAGCAGCTCCAGGCCATGGGAGATAGCAGCCAGCCGACATTTGGTCTCCTCCTGGATCTGGGTCCTCAGGAACTCTACCATTCTTGCCATGTGGGCCCGACCCAGTGATCTCTCCAGGGCATCCTACAGGGAGACACATGACAACGGCTGGGCATGAGGGCTCTGCCTTTGTGGAAGAGGTAGTTTCATTCCAAACACAGTGACCTCCCTCCCGCCCCATTTGCATCTTAGGCCAGGATGGAAGCCTCCCCATGCATTCAGAGTTTGGGATAAGCCATTGTACTTAACACCAGTATGTCTGGATCTCTAGGGGGCTACTTCAGAGCCCCATCCTGTCCTGGCCCCAACCCTTCAACCATTGTCCTCTAGTTAAGTCCAGATTCTGGGACTCTGTCTCCCACACCTCTCTGCTCCTGGCTGTCAGCCTAAGATGGACCACTGGATGGAGATCTGCCAGAGCCCAAGCATTAGAATCTTTAAAACTCCCCTGAAAATAATTATGTGCAGCCATCACTGAGAACCCTGATCTGATCAGCACCTCCACCATGGGATAGCAGGTGATGGATGGGTGAGTGGATGTGAAAATGGGCAGATGACTGGAGAGATGGCTCAGCCATTAAGAACATGTATAGCTCTCCCAGAGGACCAGAGTTTGATTCCCAGCACCCACATCTGGTGGCTCACAATGGCCTGAAATTCTGGCTTGAGGGGGACCTGACACCTCTGGCCTCTGTAGCCACCTACACTTACATGTTCTCTCTCTCTCTCTCTCTCTCTCTCACACACACACACACACACACACACACACACACACACGAGCGTGTACATATACATATAATTAACAAGGGGCTAGAGAGATGGCTCAGTGGTTAAGAGTGCTTGTTGCTCTTGCAAAGGACCTGGCTTTGGTTCTCCAAACCCACTTGGTGGTTCACAACCATCCATAACTGATGTGGGATTCCCCTCTGCATGCTGTGAATATGTTTTATTAACATTGGTTAATAAAGAAGCTGCTTTGGTCTATGACAGGACAGAATATAGCCAGGCGGGAAATCTGAGAGAGATACATAGAGAGAGTAGGTAGAGTCAAAAAGACGCCATGTAGCTGCTGAAGGAGAAGACACACCAGAACCTTGCAGGTAGGCCTCAGCCTCATGGTGATACACAGATTAATAGAAATGGGTTAACTTAAGAAAAGAACTAGCTAGTGATGCTGGATTCCCCTCTGTATGCTATGAGTATGTTTTATTACCATTGATTATTAAAGAAGCTGTTTCAGCCAAAGGCTTAGCAGAGTAAAGCCAGGCAGGAAGTCTGAACAGAGATATAGAGAAAAAGTAGGCAGAGTCACAGAGACACCATGTAGCTGCCGAAGGAAAAAGATGCCAGCTACTAGTCAGAACCTTACTGGTAAGCCACAGCCTCATGGTGACATTAACAAAAATGTGTTAATTTAAGATGTAAGAGTTAGCTAGAAATATGACTGAGCTATTGGTCAAACAGTGTTGTAATTAATATAGTTTCTGTGATTATTCAGGTCTGGTTAGCCAGGAAACAAAAAAGCAGTCTCCATTTACACATAACTCCATCTGGAACCTTCTTCTGACCTCCTTGGGCACCAGTCATGTACCCGGTATATATACATACACTCAGGCAAAACAGTTGTGCACGTAGAATAGATCTTTTTGTAAAGGGCAGATGGTAGACAGCTGTGTGACAGATGGATGATTGACAGTGGATAGATGAGGCAGATGAGGACAGAGGATGAATGCATAGAAGATGGATGGGTGGGTGATGGACAGATTGAGGATGGACGGATAGTAGGTAGATCCACTGCACTTTTATGGGGTGCTAATCACCCACTACAACATGAAGGTGTTTGACCTCTTGATCCCTAAGGTGCTGGAGTGTCTTCCCACCCATCTCATGCCCGGTGTTACCAGGGCATGCAGGTCCTGGGCATCACGCAGCAGCCCTTCAGCGGCAATCATTCTTCCTGTCAGAGTCATCATGAGTTGCCGTGCCTTTGAGCTGGAACATTTAAACTGGTCCACGAGAGTGGGCTGGATGCTTTCCATCTGCTTCCAGAAAGCTCCCATCTGTGAAATGAGCATGAGAAGCAGGCAATGGAGAAATCTCATTCAAGAAAGAGTTCTGGCTAGTGTTTGGGAGTCACAGCTCATCCTTTACTCCTACCAGAGATTCTCAGCCCTTCTGCACTTGAAGTGGGTTTATCTGAGCAGTGATTATGCCCTATGGTAGGCTCTCCACTTGGCCCCAGCTACTGTGGGCATATTACAGAGGTGTTTCCAGCAAACGCAGGGTACCATTGCCAATAAAAAGTTATGAGCACAGTTTAAGGTCCAGATAGGTCACCATTACTCCTTGGGAACATGAGAAGTGAGACAATGAGGCTCTGGGAGTTCCAGGGTCTCTCCAAGGAATTAAATATAGTCTAAAAATAGAAACCCAGGAGACCACTATTAGTCACTGTTTCAGAAATACAAAGGGGCCAAATGGCAGAGAAGATGCTGACCGTGAAATCATTCTCCTTTTGAAATCCAGCTTCCCATGCCTCATCAGGACAAGAGCCAGGAATAGTCAATTCATGGCTTGGGATGTTTGGGGCTTCAAAGTGTGACAACATGGCCTATCTAAGCTTCAGCATCAAGGATGCCAGGAAGTCTGGTGACGGTCCTTCCTGGCAAGCAGGCTTGTGTCAGCTGTGTGCCTTGCTTGCTTACTTCTCTTCCCTGAGGCAGAGCAATGGGACTAGGAAAAACCCAGACGTCACAGACAGTGAGCATCATTGGCTGTATTTAGTTCAGATCTATTTAGGTCCACACTGATCTTGAACACAGGTGCCACTATCCTGAGGGCTGATGTCTCAGAGGAAATCAAACGGAGGAAGCGAGGGGAACCCCAACATTAACTATTGATACGATGTGACCAGCTGCTTCACGCTCCTGCAGCCATGCGTTGCCCACTATGGATGACATCCCTCTGAATTGTAAGCTGAACAAACCATTCCTCCCTTAAGAATGCTTAAGATGCTTGGCATGTAATTTGGTCATAGAGATGAGAAAAGTAACTGTGCCCCTTGAATGAATGTCCCCCATAGACTTGGGCATTTGAATGTTTGGTTCCCAGTTGATGGCACTGTTTGGGGAGGTTTTGGAGGTGTGGCCTTATACTGGAGGAGGACATTAAGAGCTTAAAGCCTTGTGCCTTTTATCGTTCTCTATCTGTGCTCCACCTTGTGGTCCAGGCTGTGAGGCCTTCAGCTTCTGCTCCTGCAGCCTGGCCTTCACTCTGGCATCAAGGACTCAGACCCTCTGAGACCAGAAGCCCAAATAAACTCTTCCTTCTTTAAGTTGCCTTCCAGCCTCCCAGCTTTCCTCGACTGTGTCTGCTCACATATAGACCACCATCTCTTCTGATTGGCCTCTCTCTGGCCCTCCAAGGGGCCTTTTCAGATCCTGATGTCCCTCTCAGCTTCCCTAGCACCTTTCCACAGCAGCACGGGAGCCAGATGTCCTCTTTGCTCACTGTAGCTACCCCAAGTCTCTTGGGCAAGGCCATGCTCAAGCAAACCTGAAGCCCACTGCCTAGCACAGGAGGTGCCAAGGACACATCTGCTTCACACAGATCCACGGCCAGGAGGCCATGGAATCAACAAGAGAAAGGTGTGCTCCAAGGAAGCCTCTTCTGTGGCATGAGGTGAGAAGCATGTTCTGTGCAGCGGAGGTTTGGAGATGCTCCTAGAATCCACTCTCCTATGGAGTGGCAGTGACATTGAGGGTTTAAAGGAATCATTGCTTTCAGTGATAAAACAGCCACTGAAAAGTGAAAATGGATGAAAAGTTCCCTCGCAAATCTCCACTCTCTCACTATACCTTCTGGTCACCGAACATCCTAAACTGGGTCTCTGCCTCGGGACAGGACACGACAGTGTCCCCTCTTTAGTCTCAGCAATGTACTGTTACAGAAATCAAGGTCCCCATGGGAAGAGACGGTAGCACCCACATTGTCTATGAGTTGCTCCGAGAGCTCTCTCTCCTTCCTCTCCACATCTGCCAGGGAGACGTAGCTGGAGTCACTGGTGCCCATTGGAGTCACTGTGTTCACCAATCTGGCTTGAAGTCCCTTTTCTAACTCTTCCAAATCCTGCGGTGAAGGAGGAGAAAAAATAAACAAAGAGAAACTCATAAAATTCCATTTCTAGAATAAATATTCTTATATTTTTGGCAAATATTTTATAAAAATATAGTTAACGACAATGGGAAGTTTTGGGCACAGTCTTATGGTATACTCTTGGTCCAGAGAACTGGCTCTGTGAGGGGAAGAAATTGTTAGATAAGCCTAGCAATCTGAGCTGGATGTTCAGAATCCATGTAAGGATGGAAAGAGAGAGCCAACTCCACAGGGCTGCCCTCTGGCCTCCATATATGGGCTGTGGCATGCTCACCCCCACTCACATCGTGCATCCATACACATAAAGTGAAAACATATTTAAGGTACGAGGGTAAAAACTCTTTTACTTCATTCAACATTGGACCTCAAGAATGAAGACTGATTTTCTTCTACATCCTCCATCCTCCTGAAACTATATTTAGTATTTAGCAAACAATCAAGTTGTATCGTGTCTTTCCATCATTACAAACACATAGAAAATGTTGTGTGTTCTAGGGACTGGACGGAAATCTTCCTTCTTCACTCAAAAGTCCTTCCTTGGGGAAGGATTATACACTACACCTCAAAGAGGAAGTGGTATGGTGGGTTCAAGAGCAGGAAGTGCAGTTTAGTTTGCCAAGGTTCTTTCTCTCTGGGACACCATCTTCAGGGGAGTCATTGGTCCAGTGTGGTCTCAGCACAGTAAAAAGGCAGCACGGGCCCCACTTCTGTGGGAGTCTGACGTGGTCGAGCCCTTCTTGTGATGAGGTGGGCAACTGTGTCAGTTCTTGGATTCAGTGCTAGAAAGCAACATCCAGGTTGACAGCATTTCTAGGTCTGCAAAGGATCATGGGGTACTCTGTGTGGCTCCTTCAAAGCCCAATGTGGAGGGGAGGAACGGTTCTAGCTTCTCTGGAACTGTGTTTTCAGGTAACCGAGGAGATGTGGGCCTAACTTCTTCAGGAGATAGACCAGATGCTGAGACTGCTCACCTACAGATACTGCCTCCTGAGACTACCAATCTTCCCCTCCTCGTCTGTACCTAATAAAGATGCTGAGGTGATGCGGTATCCCCTCTGTATGCTGTGAATATATTTTATTACCATTGGTTAATAAAGAAGCGCTTTGGCCCGTGGAAAGGCAGAATAGAACTAGGCAGGAAAACTAAACTGAATGCTGGGAGAAAGAAGGTGGAGTCAGAGAGATGCCATGTAGCTGCTGGAGACAGATGCCAGACAACCTTACTGGTAAACCATGAGCCTCGTGGTGATACATAGATTAGTAGAAATGGGTTAATTCAAGATGCAAGAGTTAGCTAGAAATATACATGAGATAACTGGCCAAGCAGTGTTGTAATTAATATAGTTTCTGTGTGATTATTTTGGGTCTCAGCAGCTGGGAACAAATGAGCAGCTTCCATCTACACTGAGGTTCCAGGGTGCCAGTGATAGCAGGTGCCCTCCATCGAAGTGAGCATGCTCCCATCTGGTCCCAGCTTTCTTGTATATGTGTCTGTTCTTTCTTCATTCCCTTGCTGGCACTAGTTAGGGCTCTAGGACCCAAGCTGTAGGTCACTGCAAGTATCCTTTTTACATATACATATTCACAGGAGATCACACTGCATTGAAATGTATATTATAAAAACCATATTATGCATTAAAGGAAAATACTTTTATGCATACATTGATATGATTTATTATTTTAACAATTTATTGAGTTACCTTGAGATACAGGCTAAAGACTTACATGCTCTTGTTTTGAAAGTATCTTCTGGTATAATTCATCTTCAGGCTTCTTTTTAGGAAAAACATCCAGGAGGCATGCTTTGAGAATCTGAATGAACACCTGTTGGCAGGAGGGAAGTGACGAGAGAAACATCTGAGAAGGGCCCCTTCCTCTGACATAGTTATTGCTGAAGGATTTATATATATATATTATCATGGCAACGGTCTGACCTGGACCAGGTTTTATGAAGTTTTTAAAGAATATTTCTCTCCTTCCTTTCTTTCCTCCCTTCTCCCCACCTTCCTACCTTCCTCTCTTTCTTCTCTCTCCACGAATCCTCCCATCCTTATACTATTTACTCAGGGCCTACACTGCAGTGCCCTTCCTGACCCCATTTCCACGTGGACACTTGTTTCCTCTTAAGAGAGCTAGAGACACCTCCAAAGAATTGGGAGGTGCAGAGTTTTCCCAGACTCCTGTCTCTACAGGAGGTGATGCTCCATAAGCCAAGAAAGGCTTTCCCAGAATCGGGGATTCACGGTAATCCTAGAGGGTACCATCTCCATTGTGTCTAGCCACACTACTGCAGGAGTCTTTTAGCCAGGTATCATGATGGACCCCACTGTGGTGAACATTCATACAGAAGACTATAGATAGTCTTCCAGGGAAGGGCCATCACATGCTTGGTTTTCTAAGAAGCGGCCATACAATTTTTTACTCCCTCAGCAATGTGTGCAGTGTCTGATCCCCTCACAGCCTCAGCTTGTGTGCTGCTAATGGTAGCTACCCACTTAGTGTCTTTCCCTCACACAGTGTTCTCCCTACTCTGTGTACTCGGCAGGTGCGGCATGAGCTCATTTCTAGGCCATTCCTGCCCCAGAGAAGTGGAAGGCCATGTCCTGTCAGCAGCAATGGATGCTTCACTACACCCAGGGTCCAGACCTCACCTCATCACTCTCCTGATTCCCCATCTGTTTTCACCCAGGTCTGTGCCCTTCACACATCTGGGTTCTGTGCACACAGGAGTCTCAGATCCCCATCTGGTTCCCAGGTCAGGGAGAGAAAGTAAATGACTCCACCTACCAGGTGCTTCTCCCGTCTCAGCGCTGTGTCTACCTGAAGCAGGTCTTTCAGGAGAAGGCTGCGAACACATAGGTCGATATCCGCACTGAACCACGGGAGAGAAGCAGACAGGGGTCCAAGGGTAAGAAGCCAGGATGAGGAAAGGATATTGGTCTCTACTTGGTCTTTGGGGTGGCCCTGTCCCCTAGTTCATGTTCCTCACATACACTCAGGATTAGAGAAGTCCAGACTGTGGCTAGAAGCCTCAGCTGAGGGGACAGTGAGTGTCAAGACACAGCTTCCAGGGACAATGGAGACAAATGCCTTCAGAGAGAGAGGAAGCCAGAGGAGCAGGCTCAGTATGTTCCTTCTAAAACCTGTCCCCTTTGTCACTACGGATCACCTTTCCTCAGCACGGACAGCCTCAGGCCTGTGTGATGAACAAGGAAGTGCCTCTGAGAGCAGAGGGATGAGCTATTACTCACAGACACAGGCTGCCTTGGGGACCCTTTTCTTCCTCACAGACAAATGCGTTTGGATAAAAACACCTATCCACATTCCTCTGAACTCTGTAAGTGCCAATGCGAGAACGTGGTCTAAGCTAGTCTCCCTCAGCCCAGGGACACCTCCCATGGCAACAGGCTCCAAACCCTCCATTCTTGGGCCAAGGCTGTCCCCCGTTGTGGTGGTTTGAATAAGAATGACTTTCATGGGCTCATATGTTTGAATACTTGGTCCCCAGTTGGTGGAACTGTTTGTGAAGGATTGGAAGGTGTGGCCTTGTTGGAGGAGGAGTGTCACCAGGAGCACATTTGGAGTTTTCTAAAGTTCACACCATTCCTACTTACTTCTGTCTTTGCCTCCTACCTGCAGATAAGGATGCAAGCTCCAGTTGTCATACTTGCCTGCCTGCTGTCGTGCTCCCAACCATGGTGGTCATGGACTCTAACCCTCTAGAACTATAAGCTCCAATGAACTCTTTCTTCTATAAGTTGCCTTAATCACACATCTTTTCATAACAACAAGACATCCAGGTATTCCTGGAACTTCAGGACACAGAGGCCTGAGGACAACTGCCAATCATAACCCTGTCAGCAGCCCACAACGTGAGTCTGGTGACATGGCAACCGAACCTTAGCCCTAAGGTGTCTTATAACTCAAACCTGGCATATTACTCTTTCAGTGTGGGGAACTTGGTGAGTTACTCGGCCTCTCTGTGTCTTTTTACAAAGTAGGGGAAATATTGCCTGATGTTTAAGGATCACCAAACCTGATCCAGGCTGTTTTGCCACGCAACAAAGGATTAGCAACGAGCACAGGAATCAGGGCCTCAATTTCCTGGGACAATTTTTTCAGGTGCTGCAGGCTTTGCCCAAACCCCCGGGTGTTTCCTGCACTATAGCTAATGGGACACACCAGTGTTTAAACACCACTCCCTTGTCACCTCTCTCCAGGACTCAGGCTTGACTCTGTAACCCCAGTCTTGACAAACGCCATGTGACCAAAAATGCATGTGGTAAAAGCATCTAGGTCCCCAGCTCTGACCCTGTGCTTCTGTGGGTCCATGTCTGAGTCATTTGATTTTTCCGGACCTGCTTCCTCCTCTGCACCACCCACTGCAGCTCCACTGCCCCGCGCTTGCCCCTTACCTCTCACAGGCCAGAACCTCAGGGAAGCTGCCCACCTGGAGGAAGGCACAGTGGAGGATCCTGTCGTCACTGTAGGCCGAGTGCATGCTGGAAGAGGAGCTGCCATCTTCCTTCCCAGCCTGGCTCAGGCTGCCAAGGCTGCTGGCCGGTGAGGCCTCTGCTGGCTGGTGGGGTAGGTGGGGCAGGATGGCTGCTGCCTGTGTCAGGTTTTCATGCAGCGACGGGTGGGAGGATCCATCAGCCAGAGGCTGGGAACAGAGGAGACCTGACTGAGCTGACCATTGGGTGAGTGCACACAGACCAAGCTTCTGCCCCAGGACCATGGTCGAGTCCACACCTGAGGGACGGAAGCATGGTTCCTCTGTTTCTGCACTTGTCTCCGTGGAACCAACCCTCTGTAATGGCGAATCAATCCCACACCAGTTAGGTTTTAAAGGGGATATTTATTTTGGGGGGTAAAACTTACATATACACAAACCGTCAGGAAAGGAGCCTAGTCGCTGGAGCAGGAGCCGGAACCAAGCGCTGGTACCAAGAGGTCGAGCCGAGGCTTGCTGCTCTTCTTTTAAAGAGAAATATACCACACCCCAGTGGGCTGGTATTTCTGCGGCTATTGGCTGACGGAGCAGAAGGCCCTCCCGCAGCACTGTGGGCTTGTGCTTCAGCGACTATTGGCTGAAGCAGCAGAAGGTACTCCCGCAGCACCTCTGTACCAGGCTACTACTCCTGAGCCACTAGGATCTGTCCCTAAACATCTCTGTACTCAGCGCTCCCATCTGCCAAGCCCATGATGATCTCTGGAAAGCAGTCTACCCTGCCTTGTCTCTGCTGTGGCTGGCTCAGCCCCAGGAGCCCCTTTGACTATGTATGCTAAGTACCTGTCCTGATGATGGTCATGCTTGCCACAAGCTTCGATGGCTCCCACTGCCCACTGACAAACCCGTGTCTCCTAACTAAGCCCAGTGTGACACTAGTCACAATCTGGTCCCTGGAACAATTGGAAGTGCTCAGCTCTCTGTCTAGCCCTGTTGCATGCGGCTGAGCCTGCCTACACAGGCTGAGCTGGCCTCTGTTCCAGACCTCTGCATGTCCTGCTCCTGGGCCCTTCTAGACTGAGCTGCCCTGCTGGAATCTGCCTTTCCTGGGGCTTCCCTTCCTTGGGGTCTGCTGGGTTCCTGAGGTCCCTGTCCATTTTTCTATGTCCAGTTGCTGCACTGTGGGGGCAGGGGTCCAGAGAATCTATGATTACCCCAGGGTGAGGATAGGGTGTGTGAGTGTGTGTGTGCGTGTGTGTGCACGTGCGTGCATGCGTGCATGTGTGATTAGACTTCTTTATTTCTCTTCCCAGTGTGACCACATTAATTACATCTCCTTTCTGTTTTTCACTACTGTCGTCTCTTTAACTGGCTTCCTGGGGATGGGTAAGCTCAGTTGTCCAGGCTCTGACCCTAACAACTCCAGCATCACAGCCAGATGCTGTTCATCCCAAGGCTTCCACAGGGAGTAAAGCCTGGGAATACCCTCTGGTGCAGAAAGCCGCTGACTGAGCAAACCATGGTTCTGAGTCTTTCCACACAGTCTTGCCTGGAGTCCAAACAGCTGGTGAGGCAGAAGCACCCCAAGCCCCCATCTCATAGCACAGCAAGAAAGGGCCATGCAGGAAAGGCTGAGTCGGGAGTCAGAATGACACCCTAGAGACTCAGAGCATATCTTCCTGAGGGTCAGGATGCCAGTCCTTTCCCAAACACTCTTGGCCAGGACACTGTCCCCAGGACACCTCATGGGCTCAGCCCCTCCCTCTCTTAAGGTTGCTTTCTGCATAGAGCCTCCAGCTGATGATCTCTGGTCACAGACATGGGTGCAAGACCTGTTGCCAAGTGTGTAGGGTGGAGCTGGCCTCCTCCTGCAGGTGACCTTGAACAGCCCATTCATCTGCTGGAAATGCCACAAAGTGGAAATGCCAGCTGTGTGACAATCCTTCAGCCGGTATAAGTGTTTAGGAAGTATAGTGTCTGGCATTAGCCCTGAGCCATATGGATGAGAGAGAGCTGGGGCCTGAGGCACACAGAGGGAGGATAGCATCCCACTGTGGGGGTAGTTGCCTTGCAGATCAAGCAGCTGTAATTCCTGACCTTTTTGTGGCCCCTGTGTGCCCACATAGAATGGGTCAGATTTCATGATCTGATCCATTACATACCAAACTTGCAGATAGGATGGAAACCCATATCTGATCCCTGTCCTCCCATGGAGCCCGGCACATTATGGAGTAAATGTCACTGCTAAGATGGGACTAGGAATGCTCACCCGGAACTTCTGGTTGATGGGATAGACAACCCTGGCTTTCAGTGCAAACGCTGTGATGTTGCTGCTCAAGGGTGGGTCACATTCCTGCAAATGAGAAATAGAGAGTGAGTGGCAAAGTTAGCTTTCTGCCACCTTAAGGACAGATGGTCACAAGTCTCCAAAATGTCACATTCCACATGTATCAGTGAACACAGGAAAGAACCATGACAGGCCATTTTGAATCTTTGCAAGAAGGATGGATGAGTAGATGGGTGGATTGGTAAATGGTGGATGCAAGAATGAACAGGATTGAGGAATGTATGGGTGCATGAATGGATGAAGAAAACGGTGGATCTGCCAATGGGCAGAAAGAGAATAGGTGAGTGGACAGATGGGTGGAGGGATAGATAGGTGGGTGGATGAAGAATGGAAGTATGAATGTGTGTTTGTACATATATATGAATGTATTGATGAAGGGAGACATGAATATATATGTATGTGTTCTTTTACTGAGATAAATGCCATCACCAAAGCAACTTGGGGAGGAAAAGGTCAATTTCACCTCAAATATTATAGCACATCAGGGCAAGAACCTGGAGGCAAGAACTGATGCATAGGCTATGAAGGAACACTACTTACTGACTTACTTTACAAGGCTTGCTCATTCTATTTCTTATACACTAGGACCACCTGCCCTGGATTATCACCACCTACAATGGGTTTGGCCCTCCTGCATCAATTACCAATTAAAAACAAGTCCCACAGGCTTGCCCACTGGCCAATCTGGCAGGGGTGTTTTCTCAACAGAGCTTCCTGCTTCCCAAATAGCTCGAGTTTAGTGTTAGGCTGACATAAAACTAGCCAGCACAGAATGTATAGGTAGGTAGATAATTGGAGCATGGACTTATGCATAGATATGTGGAGTATGGATGGATGAATAGATGGAATAATTTAATGAATAGATGAGTGAGCAGATTTGTAGATGGGTAGATTCATGAAGAGATGAATGAATAGATGGGGTAGGTAGGTAATGGATGTCTGTATAGAGATGTATGGATGGGTGGGCGGATGGACAGATGGATAGATGTGTGGATGTATATATGTATGTATATATGTATGATGGGTGGATAGATGGACAAATAGATGGGTACATATTGTGAACTATTAGTGTAAGATGTGTCACATTCATTTATGCTGTGGAATATTTGTTTAATGGTGCAAAGATGTGTTTCATTCTTTTATGTTGCATTTGTTTAACTCTGTAAAGCTGTGTTACTTTGCCTGCCTAAAACACCTAATTGGTCCAAAAAAGAGCTGAACAGCCAATAGTGAGGCAGGAGAGAGAAATAGGCAGGGCTAGCAGGCAGAGAGAATAAACAGGAGGAGAAATCCAGGCTTAAAAAGAGAAGAGCAAGGAGCAAGAAAAGGAGAAGAGAGAGGACGACGCCACGGACCAGTCACCCAGCTACACTGCCAGTCACAGAATAAGAAGCAAATAAAGATACATAGAATAAAGATAGGTAAAAAGCCCAGAGGCAAAATGTAGTTAAAGAGAAGCAGGATAATTTAAGTTAGAAAAGCAGGCTAGAAACAAGCCAAGCTAAAGTCGGGCATTCCTAAGTAAGAATAAGTCTTCATGCACTTATTTGGGAGCTGGATGGCAGGTTCCCAAAGAACTAAAAAAAAATTACAGGTACATAGAGAAAATCTGGACAGACAGACACAATCATTTAATTTTGATTCTTCAGTTTTGAAGTAATTAGGCTTTTAATACCTCGAGATGGATTAACAAGCATCTCCTGAAGGACTATGTACCATCTTCAAATGGGAGAAACAACCACATAAAGTAATGGACCTTGGAGGCATTAGTCCTTACATTCCACAGTGCCGCAGGGCCAGTGGAGATGATAACAATTCATATATTTCAACTGGATGAGTTGGAACTTTCCCGACTCATAGGTGACAGGATAGTACCCAAGTCACATGTTACATGTATATGATCACACTGCACTCCACTGATCAGATGATTATATGTGCCAATTGAAATGTAATAGTGGGACACTGTGGGTATAGACACACAGGCAACATTCACACGGGGTTCTGGAATAGAACCTTAAACAAGAAAGGTATGGCTGGGTCAGCCTCAGTCTGCCCATCTAATAAACAGAGAGAGGATCTAATATGCAAAGATAACAGGCGTGACGCTTCCAGCTGACTTCCTGGGGCTGAGAAGACACTAGGCCCTGGGCAGCTGTAACACTGATGCTCACCAGCCACAGACCTAGTGGGCATTGACTCCTGAGAAACCACCTCTGACAGTGGGAGGGATTAAAACATTGCTCACCCTGTTCCCTGGCATGCTCTGCACTTCTTCTGAGGACTTTACTAAGTTGTGCAGGCTCGCCTTGAACTTACGACCCACCTCAGCCTCCAAGCAGCTGGGATTACAGAGCGTACCAGATCTAGTGGTCCTCTGCCATTTAAAGCTTCATTTAACAGACATGGAAGGAAAGGAGAGGAAAGGGGTGAAATGGGAGGAAGGCATGTTTTCTCCACTCACCCAATAGGGGACAGTCACACACTGCAGAGATGTGAAAGGCAATGGAAGGGAGAGGCATTGACTGTGCAGGAGGCAGGTAGAGTTGGGGTGCCTGTGGAGGCAGGCACGATTGGAAAGTCTGGGTGGGACCCCTGGGAACAGTTCTGCTATGGGAAGCTCTACCTGTGAGGATGCCCGTGTGGCTACCTGTATCCTCCAGGACTGGAAGGGAGGCCTGGCCTGCTCTGCCTGCTTTGGCTGGGAGATGGAGGACACGAGAGCCTTAGGCATGCGGAGGCAAGGACAGGCAGCTCCTGCCACCCGGAGACCCCAGCTTTTCACAGTTCTCCTCATTGAATCTAAAAGCTCCAAATCGGATGGTTCACCCCAGGAGATACAGTGATCTAGGAAATGGGTTGCTGTGCAAATTTACAAGGTAGAACCTTAGCCAAAACCAGGCAGTTGTTCAGAAAATTGGTGGTGGTGTCACTGTGGAGAGAAAAGCTGTTTCCCCCGTCAGCCCTAAGGTGTTCTTTTTAGTCCTGCACAGCTGCCTCTAGAGGCCACACCCCTCCTCTTCATTAGCTAGGGCGAAAACAGAAGATGCTGGCTGTGGGGAAGCAGCCCTCAGAAACCTTCCGGAAGTTTCTGTGTGTTTTAATCAACAGGAGCTATTCATTAAACAGAGTTCATCTAAGTAGCAGCAGGACCTACCACAAGGCTGAGGTTCTCTGTGCACAGGAGAGGTGGCTGGACTCGCCAGGCAGAAACACAGCAGATATTTAACTCAGCTCTGGGCAATCATTAGCCTGGTAATGGGCACCTGCCAGGCACTGAGGGAGGCAGCAGACTAAACCTCACTAGGCTGAAGAGAAATGAGGTAATCTCCCACAGCTGCACTGATGGAGTATGTTCTGAGCCGGGGATGCTGGCAGGACCCTGGGGACCATGGGAGGGACTTCTGTGACTCTTGCAGTGAGGCACCTGAGGCTCAGACAGGTATATTTTCTGTCCAGTAGCACACAGCAAATGTATAGTGGAGCTGGGATTGGTCCACACTGTTTCAGTGGAATCCAAAGCTACCTTACATGTGAGTGAGGGTTTTTGTTTGTTGGTTTTTATTCTTTTTTTGTTTTTTTAGCAGTTTTATCAATACAGAATTCATGTCCTATACAAATCATGTAATATGTGACCAACCCTCTTCAATGTTTCCCTAACACAGGAAGCCCACAGGTGATTTCAGAATGGCTCATTGCAGTAGAGAAGCACTGTGCTCTCTATGGTTGCCCATCTGTCCCTTTCCTGGCAACCACTCAGCTACCTCATATCCACATAAATTCCCCATGCATGGATCCTTCTTGGTTCTGTGCATGGCTGGCTTCCGTCACTCTGGGTAACAATGTCCAAGTTTACAAGGCATATCAGTACTGCACTCGTTTTTATGGCCGATGTCACTTAGAGGGGATAGGTCACAATTCTCTGCTTTTGTTTAGTTTGAGTCTCGGTTTCAATAGGTAGCCCAGGCCAGGCTCACATTCACTATCCTCCTGCCTCAGCACTAGTGCTGAGATTATAGGTGCAGCCCGCTGTGCCTGGCTATCAAACAACATTCTGTCCATGTATTTCTTGGGTGATGGTCATTTGTGTTGTTTCCAATCTGGCTGTTGTGGACCAAGCTGGACATCTGTGTACAAGCATTTATGTGGACATAGCTTTCCTGTCTGTGAGTGGAATTTTAATGGTATGTAGGGAGGGGGCAAGGCAGTCAAGAGAGGTGAAGGAAAAGAGAAAGACAGAGAGATACCACACACCCACAGACTCTCACACACTTTGTCCCAGGGACCCAGAGTCTCCCAGGCAGACAAGGATGAAAAGCTCTCAATAGAGACACAAACCCGTATGCAGAGACAGAGAGACAGAAACATGAGAGCAAGGTTTAGAGATACCCAGTGTTGTGGAGGGAGTGCAGCTCCTGGGGCCACAGGTCCTTCAGGATCCTGGAATCCCAGCAAGGCTCTCTCTTCGCCTCCACAGCCTCCTTGAAGCTCAGGAGGTCCAGGCTAGGCCCTCCCCCAGAAGTATGGTCACTGGAATATTTGGGAGGCACAGGCCTCAAGCAATGTGAGACAGCAAGCTGATTCCTAACCTTCGGAGAAGCAAACTACCACTCTCTCTACATGGCCCGCAGAGGATCCCAAACAGGGAAAAAGCCAAACAGGGCAAGTAGAGTGGGGGAGGGCAGCAGGGCTTGCTCTACAGGTATCAGACAGACCTCGGAACATATCTGAACTTGGCCACTCTCTAGTGTTAGGACCCAGAAAGTGACCTGTCCTTGAGCCCCAGTTTTCTCATCAGACGTGAGAACAAAAAGGAAAGCTGAAGAGTTAGGAGGACACAAACCCACCAGCTCGATGACCCTGCCTCGACTTAAAGTATGCAGTATTTCCTGGGGCACCAGGGAATGTCAAGTGATGTCCTTCTGTCCCTACTGAGGGAGCTCACCCTGCTCATGCTCCATGGGTCAACTGAAGCTGGATGGAGAAGACCCTGGAAGGGGAGAATCCATCTTCTAGGATTGATGCCAGGTGCCCAGCTTTCCCTCGGCTGCCTGTTTACTTAGAGTAGTAAAATTCAGTAAGAGACTAGAACTGGACTGATAACAGCTGGACTCTGATAGCAGCCAGTCCATCAGCCAGACTCTCAGGAGCTGCTGAGTGGCTAGCAGTGCTGTGTGCATGATGACTCCCCCACTGCTAGGAAAGGGGGCTGGGTGTGGCTGTGCAAAAAAATGGGCAGATAATTGTTTTGGGGATTTTGTCTGTGTTGTCATTTGATGTCCAGTGGAGTGGAGCATTGGCTCAAGAGGAGGGGTTCACAGTCAGTCGGACAGAATGGATCATGGGGTTCCCTGGTGGGTTCAGGAGAAGGGAAAGAAAGGCCCTTGGAAGAGGAAGAGGCAGGGCGAAGAAGCCGCACAGTTTTCTGAACCTGGAGGTGGATGGCAGTGTGTGTCACTGTCGCCTGTGGTTCTCTCGGGGTTTTATCCTTGACATATATCCTTCAGTTTTATTTTTTAATAAATGATAAAAGAAATCTCAATAAATGTTGGTAGCACGGTGTTTTGGGAGCTGAAACAAAACGGGAACAGGGCACACTCCACACTAAACTCTAGTTATGCCATGGTCATGCGAACCCGACCTGGGGTGGCCAGAGACAAGCACTAGAGAACTTTCTGGGGGTATCAGGGCTTTAATGATGAGGGAGCATACCTTTATTAAAACTCATTCAGCTGTGGACTTACAATCTGTGCCTTTGACTATTCATACATGGAAATTTCTAGGGAAATAAATCAGCCAGTATCTTGGAGCATGACACCTTGGTTCCAGGAAGACAGTCCCACACCCAGCATGTGTCCATGGAAGCTCAGAGAGACCCAGACTAACCTCAGGAGCATCCTCATCCCGAGAAGTCATCATTTCTCTCTGGCGTCTCCTGACCCGGGAGCCAGTATCTGGCAGGCTCTGTGCAGTGGGCTCTGAACTCCTGAGCAGGCGTTGGGTGTCATCTTTCTGAAAACCCAAATGTGGTGGAGAGAAACCAGATAATGAAGTCAATCAGCCTTGCTAACCCCCTGAACTTTAGCCTCCGGATCCTCACTAAGCAGTCACCTCTGTTCACCATGTGCCCTTTCTGCCCCCTCACCCACCAGGCATCGACTAGAGTCCTTTAAAATGACCCTGGCCACTCTGGTCATCTTTCTAAGAAATCCCCTAAGGTGCATATCTCAGGTGTCCCCAAGGGGAGTCTTGTCCCAGCAGTGGCCACACTGGGAGTAAAGCTTGCAGTGTTTCTCAGTTTCTGTTCTGCATTTATTTCTGCAGTCATGATAAAATACTCCAACAGATGGAATGGCGCCGCGTGCACTCATTCCTCTCTGCTCTAGGCTGGGATATGACTCGCTGCTTCAAGTTCCTGCCTCGACTCCTGCACGGCGACGGACTGATCTGGAGTTGCAAGCTAAAATAAGCCCTCTTCTCCCTAAGCTGTTTGCTCTCAGGTTCATTTCATCACAGAAAGAGGCATGGAATCAGAACAGAAACTGTGTCCCCGAGGGCCACCCCTTTGGGGGAGACGTACAGGTAATACTTCCCCTGCTGTTCTCAGCAAAGGCACTGGGTGATTTTTTTTTTTAAAATAATGATCTTGGTTACCTTTAACAGAGAAGTGATTTCTACTGTGGACAACAATCAGTAGAAGTGTGATTTGCCACCACTTAGCAGGTGTCATCACTGACATTCACGGGTTTCATAGCTATTCGTGGACACACGAGCAGTGGAGGGCAGCCATGTGCTTATCTGAGTGGCTGTGAGAACAGCAAGGCCCCCTTCACCTTGTCCACTTACTCTCCTTGTCAAGCAGACTTTCCTGTTGCAGCTGTGTGTCCAGCTTTCTGCCGTTGTGCTTCCTGTCCCCTGAGGGGCGGTGGTCCTGAAGCCCTGTCTAACATTCTGAAGTACCTTAGGGCTATGGTGCACCCAACAGAGAAGAGCCTGTGAGAGAGCACCTGCCCCGGGCTGGAATTCTGCAGCTCTTTGCTGTGGGGTCCACAGAGAGAATTAACAAGACACAGTCAACAAGACTTCTTTAAACAAACACAAGTCATTCTTGAAGGTGAACTGATAGAAAAAAAAGAGGGACCCCAGGCAGTATCTTCCAGGCAAAGATTTAGTGTTTACTTGCTCAGAGAAGGCATGAGGCCTCAGCTGAACTCCCAGAACCATGCGAAAAAAGCCAGGTATGGGGGTGGACACTCTCAACCCCAGTGCAGGGAGGGAAGACGCAGGTGGCCACTCAGCCTAGCCTACTTGCTAGGTTCTAGGCCAGTGAAAGATTCTGTCTCCAAAAACCAACTGAATAGTGCCTTAGGAATGATATCAAGGTCCTCTGGCCTTGACATAGCACACACATGTGCACAGACACCTGCATACATACATATGCCTGCACACACATGAACATGTACACACGTCAACACAGGGGGCAGCAGGATGATTTGGTGGGTAAAGGCAGTTGCCACCAAGCTTGAAGACCTGAGCACTGTCTTCTGAACCCACATGGTGGAAGGGGAGAACTGATTTGGACAAACTGATCTCTACAGGCATGCTGTGGTATGCATGCATGCTCGAGAACCCCCTCCCCCCCCACACACACAAATAATTGCATCTAGGCACTGGTGATCTGATTGTTACTGAATTAGTCAGGGCTATGATTCAGCATCACTGGTACCCAGCCTTGTTCCAGACCCTGGAGGGAAGCCTCTTAGACAAAGTAGGAGAAAAAACATAAAAGGGGGAGCAAGCCTCTGAGGCCCCAGGACTCAAACACTGCAAAGGGCCTCATACAGACACAGGCCTGGCGACGTCGAGATGTCAGGGTGGGTCTCTGGGCAGAGAGGACGGACAATATAGCCCAAAATTTCAGGATGCTTTTGGTTTTTTTTTTTTTTTCAATTTGCTGACTGTGCGAGAGAGACACTACCCAGTCAGATGAGACTCACTAAAGATCTCGGGAGAAAACTCACCAACCCAGCAGAGGGAGAAGCAGCTGTGACCCAGGAGGCCAAGGGTCACAAGAGATCTGAGGACAAACTATAACAAGAAGTGCAAAACCCAAAACAAACAGAAGGAACAACTGGGGGTGGGGATGAGGAGACACAAGACAGACAACGGATGAGTATAGTGACCTCGGAGAGTGGAGAGGCAGTCCACTCACCAATGGGAATTTAGGACACGCCCAGAGGACTCAGGGAGCAGAAAAGACCTCCTGAAAATCAAAATATAGACATTAAATCACACGAATAAAATGGAGCAAAGCCTCCCAGCTTCATATGTGTTATATATGCATGTGTCTGTATATGTATGAATCATGGGCGCGCCCCCCTGCCACAATATCCATCCAACAGTTCAGGACGACTCACAATCATAGCTGACTAGCACAAAGGGTTATCCGAAAAGAGACTTGACAACAGAGAGAAAGAAGATAACGAGAGGTCGAAATCAATCCAGACGTGTGAGTTCTTGAGAGAAGTGAGGGACTGAGAAAAATAATCCTCAACCAAACGTGTTTCTAGATAGAGCCAAATGCTCAGCACGACAGAGGAGATCTGAAAGAAGTCAAAGCTGCCAGAACCCAGAGTGCCCAATGGGTCTCATTACAACTGATTGGGCTCCTCTATGCCAAGAGTCTCCCCAGATATCCTATGCTATTGAAATAGTTGTTCAGGCACGGTGTACCCTAGCCATTGCTGGGCACTAGACCATACACTTGTTGAACTGCCAGGCTGTTTAAACCCTCTCCCCCTTCTTTTGCCTCACTTTCCTCATCTGCAAAATGAGGCCAGTCGCGGGGTTGATTCAAAGTTGGAGAGTTTAGAGCCTAGGTCAGAGGGCCCTGCTCAGTGCCTGGAACAGACACCTCTCAAGAAATGCTAGCCTGTTTCTACACCACTACAGCACCCATCCGGTTGTGTTATGATCAAACACTGACTGGAAATGTGTCTTTCCTGGGTCAGTGTGACCCCTGGCAGAAAGAAGGTCCTCGGTCCACACTCCCAGGGGAAGTCCTGCAGCTTCACGTCAAGGAAGCAGGAGCGGGCATCCCAGGGCAGACGCTAGCCCTCCTCTTCCCTACACCAAGCTGGGTGCATCTGCTGGGATTCGGTCCAAATTTCTAACTACATCTGAAAGCACTCAGGCCCAGAAGGGCTTGGGGGCGACAGTCTTTCTGAGGACCCCAGGCCAGTATTCTTAGGAAACTCAGTCCTTGCCCTTCCTCAGAAAGCCCTAACCCTGATTTTCCTGGAGCAGGACGCTGCGCGCAATAGCACTCAGGGGATGCAGAGATGGGATCCAGAAAATGTAGCCCAGGACCCTAACAGTGGAGGAGAGCGCTCGATCCTCCTGCTGGGACTCACCTGGAGTCGCGTGCGCAGTCGACTGGCGCGGCAGCCTAGCCACAGGCCGAGGCCCAGGCCGAGTGCGGCGCCCAGCAGCACCGCGAGAACCAGCAACGTGGGTGCCGCCTGCAGCGCTTCCCGACCCAGCTGCAGCCGGGCATCGCTTGTGCAGGCCATGGGGGCTCGGGCGGGTGACCTGCCACAGCCCGCCGCCCGCCAGCTCTGCCCCTCCGCGCCCTTCCAGCAGCGCCCAAGTCGGGGGAGGAGCCTGGATCTGCGGTCCCAAACTTTCAGCCATTCCGGGCCGTCGCTACCGTGCACTGAGCATGCGCAGCTGAGGCGCGCCGGTCGGCCCGAGGACCCAAAATCAGGAGCAAGGGAGCATCCCTCCTCCCAGTTCTCGGAGCAGCTACTCCTCTGCGGTCACTGAGCAGCCAGGCTGCCCCGAGTCCTCGCCTGGCAACCCCATTAAGCCCAGCAGCACTTCCTGATTGCTGTTGACCTGTCGCACCTGACTCCAGCGCTGCTCCTGTAGCTGGTCGATCTTCTCTAAGGGGCATGAAACCACTATCTCTGCACTTGATCACTTGATTCCTTTTTATCCTGTAACTCCCCGAAAAAGATTTCTTCTCCAGGAGCGAAAGTCACATTCGTGCCCCTCTAGAATCCAGACATCTCTTCATTTTTTTTTTTCATTTACCGTTCTACGTGGGAAGGATGGGAGCCAGCACTTCGGACTCTTCAAAGACGGAAACTGACAGAGGAGGTGCCTTATTCAAGATCTAACAACTCAGAACAAGTTGGTGGTGGCTGTTCACATCTATAGCTTCAGGTCACACACCTTCTATGAAGACCTTCCTGTTTCCTCAGGGCATCTCCGGGAACATCTTCCTGGTAATAGCCTCCTGCTGCAACTTTGTGTTTATTTGGATGCTCAGGCCTGAGCTTTTAACTTACAAGGCCAGGCAGCAGCATATAGCTGTGATCCACGGAGCCCTCAAACTGTATAAGAGACAAAGAGACCATTTTAAAATAATAAATCTATTTAAAATGAATGCTGCTGCCGGGTGGTAGTGGCTCATGCCTTTAATCCCAGCACTCGGGAAGCAGAGACAGGTGGATCTCTGTGAGTACGAGGCCAGCCTGGTCTACAGAGCAAATCCCAGGACAGGCTCCAAAGTTACACAGAGAAACCCTGTCTCAAAAAAGAAAGAAAGAAAGAAAGGCGGGAGGGCGGGAGGGAGGGAGGAAGGAAGAAGTACTGCTTGTGTTTTGCCCTCTGAAGTCAGTTGTTAACAGCGCCCCCAGGATGCCTGGCGGTTTTCAAGGGTGCAGTACTTGGTATGAGAGGCACAGCTAGGATACTCTAGGACCTGCAAAACTCAGGATACACTCAGATCTGCAAACTCATGGTCTTGTCCAGGTCAGTTTAAGAATGGTATGTGTGTCTCACTGGAGGTGTAGAGAAGCTGGTGCAGGGGGCTCCCTAGCAGCTGTCCAGCAGGACAGCTCACAGAAGACCTAGTACCTGTGATGGCGAAAGGGAGGTCACCAGAGCCCAGAAGACAGACTACCCTCCCAGCTCTTCCCTCTTGGGATACATTGGCCAAGTGATGGCTTCACTGTTGAAGGGGAGGCTGGGTAAGTCCAGGGAGATTCCCCAAGCCCCGATTAGAAAGTGAGTGCTCTGCTCAGGCTGGATTGAATTGGACCCCATTGAAGGTGAGAGCCGCCTTTTCTTCTTTGCCCCTACCTCTGCTCGGCTGTTCCCTGTAGCCGCCAGCCATGGCAAGCTAAGTAGAAACAAAAGGAAATTCTTTACTTCCAAATATTATCACCGGCCAGAGTAGGACTCAGCCATCAACAAGTTTAATGGAGGCTGGAGTCTCAGTAGTTTAACCTGAAGCAATACCTGGTTGCAGGAAGAACCACAAGCTGAGATTACCTGAGCACCACCGAAGAACAGACCATCCAAAGGAAATGCCTAATGTTCCAACCGCTGTAGATAGGATCACCTGCACACTCACCAGGACACCCCTAGACAAAAGTCGGCCAATCAGGGGCCCTGAACCATAGAAATCCCTCACACTCTCCTTTAGAATCAGAAAAACCCAACTCTAACTGAGCTCGGGGCCCTCTGATTATTCCAATACGATGGAGTTTGCAAACTTGCATGAAATAACGACTCTTTGCTTTTACATACGGGACTAAGTCTCCTTGTTGGTTTTGGGGGGACTTCGTGGAATTGGGCATAACACTCTCTGCGCTGTCTATTAAGTAACCTTGGCTTTCTAATGCCTCTCAGGTTTCTAAACCCGCTGCGGAAAAGACTGAGAAGTCAGCCAGTGTCTCTAGAGAGTCAGTTGGCGTTAATGGGGACCCTTTGTCACCCTCAAGGAAAGAGAATGGCGGGTGATTTGGGGTGGGGCGCTAAGGCGCTGCGCGGCTCCCTCCCACGCGGCTCCAAACTCCAGATGCCAGTGTTCCAGAAAACTTTCCAGGCGGCTCTCACTGAGCATGCTCCGTGGCGGGGCGGGCCTGGGGTCCGGAAGCTCCGGGACTCCGCGGGGCCTATGTGGGGTCTGCAGCCACCAGATGGGGGCGACGGGTTCCACGGTCGCCCGGGGACGAGCCACGTGGGTTCTGGCTGGGGGCGTCCTGGCCGCAGCCCTGGTTCTGGGCGCAGGTCCCCGTGCCTTCCCACCCGCCTTCCCGGCACTGGGCCCAGAGTCGCCGTCCAGAACCGGCCCCGCAGGACCCCAACCAAGCGCGCAGGTAAGGGGGCCGGGCTCCTGAGTATGTAAACACTCACTGGAAAAGTCCCGCCCTGTTGATCATGTGGAGGGAGAGGCTGAACCTCTGCCTGGTGGTGCCTCTAGGAGCATTCTGTATGTACCATGGAATTGAAACTCCAGGACTGGTGGAGCCTCAGGATTGGTAGCTACGGGCTTATAGGGGATGGAATCCAGATTTTCATCCGAGGAGTTACATGTCTGAGGGCAAATTACTTCGTATGTCTCCCATTCTCTGGTCATTTGGAGCCAGGTCATAGGAAGTCGCCCTGCATTAGGTTCGTTCATGTATACAAAGTTAGCACTGTGGTGAGGAAGCTGGGAAGATGGGCTGGGTTTTTATCTGCCTCAACACTCCTGGGTGGAGTAGACCGCTGGCCCTGTTCATGGTTCAGAATTGGAAAAGTCTCTCTCCCCAAACTGGTCCAAAACCCTCCTGCTTTGTGCTTGGACCAACTTACACACCTCCTCCCTGCCCTTTGCTACCCCCTTAACTCACCCTATCCCCTCTGGTTCTTGGCTGCCTTTCCCCTGGGTGTCCACCCATCCCTCTTAATTTACATTCTATCTTCTGCTAGTCAGCCCTGCTTGTCAACCTGACACAACCTAGAATGACTTGGGAAGGCTGTTTAAATGAGGGATTGCTTGGATTAGGTTGAACTGTGGATCTGGCCTGTAGTGGGAGTGGAGGGTTTACTTGATGTGGTAAGACCCAGCCCACTGTGGGCAATGCCATTCCCTGGGCAAGGGGCCTTAACCTCTGTAAGATTAGAGAAAGCAAGCTGACTACTTAGCCTGCATGCATTTATTCCCCTCTGCCTTTATCTGTGGCTGTGATGTGACCAGTTGCTTCAAACTCTTAGCTTTCAGGCAAGAATATCTTCTAACTTAGAATAGTAAGCAGAAATAAACCCCTTTCTCCTGTAAGCTGCTTTTTGTCAGGGTGTCTATCACTGCAGCAGAAATGGAGCTAGAGCATCTCTCATCTACTCCCTGAAGATCCCTGGGGGATTGTCCACATCTTTGCTTACCACTTCCCCGCATCCCTCCTCTCAACATGGCCCCAGGAGCAAATCCAGCTTCTGTTCCCAGGAGGGCCCTGGCCAGTGGTATGGTCTATTGACACCAGCTCTAGCATCACCTGCCCGCTCTCCACTTGCCAACCCGAGGATTCTCACAAGGCTACTCTTGCTGCAGAGACTTAGCGCTCTAAGGGCCATTCTGTTCGCTTTCTATCACTTACAGTCTTAGGTTGTCACTGTATAGTCTCTGGATTGGACTTTAAGCCCAGTGACTGACATTTTCATTGAGTCCTTTTCCTCACTCCTCCTGAGGAGGGGAGATGCAAGTGGCCCATTTTCAGAGGACAGACAAGGCCTGTGAAAGCTGCTGTGACCCTGGCCTTTGCTCTCACCGTGGCCCCCACATCCAGAGCCCAAGTCCCAGGTTTATAGTCTTTGTATATCTTCCCTCTGGGAAGCAGAATGTTCTGGTAGACACTTGACCCTGACAGGGTCAGGTGTGGAGTCTGCAGGAGGGCGATTATTTCAGAGGGGGAACAATACCCTTTGGGAAGCCCTCAAGGCCACCCAGAGCCAGGACATTTCACTGTCACAGGCCACTCTGTCTTTGTTGGAGCCTGGAATGAGCATCTGTGTCTAGGTGGCCCTGGTGCTTCAAGTGATTGGGTTGCTTGAGTCCTGACTATACAGTCAGCATTTCTTCACCACTCTGGGCCATTACAGACAGTCCTTCTGTGAGCTGGCTCCTGGCTATTTCTGCCTTGGCCTCTTATCCCTATGAGGCCTGGGTCTAGTCACAGTCCCCGGAACCTCGGTTCTGAACAGAGCTGTAATGTCACTCTCTGAACATCCTACAGAGGGTGCTTATCAGATGTTCCCTCTGTGGTTATCAGAAGCTTTCTCTAGTCCATCTCTCTGCTTCCTTCCTCTCAATACATGCATCTAAGAGTCATATCTTTACAAGGGGCTGGAGAGATAAACTCCCAATTGCCTGCTGGTTAAGCAAGCACTTTGAGGGGGAGGTAGGTACTCTGGGAGCTGCTAGGGGAGGAGAGATATTCAGATGGAGAGGCCACAGAGTGCAAGCTTTTGGGAGAATAAGTAGAAAGAGCCCCAAGGGAAGGATCCTGGTGGGTGTGGCCCAGTCCTCTTTGACTTGATTGTCTTTGGCTCAATAGCAGCCAGGCATCCTTGGTCAGACCTTCACTTCCTGGTGGGTGGTACTTGGCTGCTTCCTGGGTGGATGTGAGCTGGGGGGCAGCTGTCCTCTTTCATCTCTTCAGAGAGATGCTCACCAAGGTTAGGTTGCCAGTGGTTCTAAGAGTGGGCTCCAGGAACCCTGGGTTCCTGAACCTTTCCAGGGGTCCACAGAGTCAGGGCTATTTTTATGGTGTTACCAAAACTAAACGTGGGACACTGGGGGAGAATTCACACAGAGGCAGATATGAAAATT